TATATTGGTGGTCTGGTGCCTCAATATATAAAGTCTGTATTATATTTTCCCCCAAATCCATCTGTCACAAACACAAGGAAATACAGTGTCACTGTTTGCAGGCCTCTTAGCTGACGTGCCCTAGCCCTTTGTAGATTCTGTGTAAGAATTCTGACTTTCCTTATTTTGCTGTAATTAGGAGTTTGAACTTTTAAATCCTGTGTTCTAAAAGCTGCAGTTCATCTGTGTTTTCTTCTTTACACTTAAAAGGCATTTTTAATTTTTCTAAATGATAGTGAAAAATGTAGCCAATGAATGTCTGCAAAGCACTTTGAGACAATGAGTAGCACTACAAGAAAGAGAAGTATAATGTTCAGTATATAAAATGTTTAATTTTTCAAATAGATAATTATATTATTCTTCAGCTCTAACTCCAGATCTTCTTTCCCAGGGACAGTCCCCTCTGCCAAATGTGATGGAAACAGCCTTTTATTTTGAACAGGCTGGAATTGGCTTGAGCAAAGATGAATCCTATTACATATTCCTTGCCCTTAAAAACCTAACTAATGTTCAGCCAATCCAGACCTGTCGCTTCTGGGGCAAGATTTTGGGCTTGGAAATGAACTATATTATAGCGGAAGTACAATTACGAGAAGGGGAAGAAGAGGAGGAAGCAGGTGAGGAAGTCACTGAGGAACAAGGGAAAGAGACGGATGAGGTTGAAGAGCAAGATGAGGAAAAAGAAAAAGAAGCTGAACCACCAAAGTCCACCTATAAACCCCCACCTGATATCCCAAAAGAAGCAAACGGGACTGGGGCTAATAAATATGTCTACTTTGTCTGTAATGAGCCAGGCAAACCCTGGGTGAAGCTGCCTCCAGTGACACCAGCCCAGATTGTCTGTGCCAGGAAAATCAAGAAGTTCTTCACTGGTCGGCTGAATGCTCCTGTTGTGAGCTTTCCTCCTTTCCCTGGGAATGAGGCCAATTACCTGCGTGCACAGATAGCTCGAATCTCAGCGGGAACCCATGTCTCTCCCACTGGATTTTACCAGTTTCCAGAAGAGGAAGAAGAAGAAGAAGGTGGTGACACATATGAAGAAAATCCTGAATTTGAGCCTCCCTCTGTGGCTGAAATGGTGGATTCTCTCTCCACATGGGCACACCATGTAAAGAGTATTCTGAAGCAGGTATGTGCTCACACTGAGCACCATTTGGATGCTATTCCCATTGCAATATTTGTAGGGTCACAGAATGCAAATGACGCTCCTCACCCGCATGTTCAAACTACGGTATTGGATTGAAACGTTTTTACACAGAAAATATATTTTATATCACATATAATATATAAATATCATGCACATATTTACATTTAGCATATATAAATATTGTGTGTATATATATATATATGTATATTTAGGAACCTTCTAGATTTAGTACTTTTTTCAATTATGTGTTCTTGAGATTGAAACCTATCTTTAGATAACAGTATAGAGTTAGGCCCTGATAATTATGATTTCTGGTAATCTTTTGTAGTAGGTTCTCTGCTTTGACATCCTTACTTGACAAAAATGTTTAAAACCTTCCTTTCTTGGGTGGGATGCTAAAGTGCAGATAGCTTATGATTGTATGCTAAACGGAACTTATTTGTTTTCTTGTTTTATACTTTCTGGTGTAAAACACACAAATGAAAAAGCTTAAAAGCATGTGCTATCAGGCTTGTGCTAGAAAGAGTTATGGAACATATATTTTTCTTCTCCCTATCCCTTAACTCTGTGTGTGTGTGTCTGAGCCATTTTTTTTTTAACTGGCTTGCATTCTTTCAGTGATTGTTACATGTATTTATTATTTTTCCATATCAATTATAGGGTCGCTGTGTTTGGATTAATCCTCAAAAATTAGAGGAAAAAGAAGATGAAGAGGAAGAGGAGGAAGAGGAGGAAGAGGAGATGGATGAGCAACAGGAAGAAACAGGACCACCCCTTCTTACTCTTCTGTCTGAAGATGAAGGTATTCTTCATGGAACATGAAGTTTTTGATAGAGAGCCACTAGGAATGTTGGCATTTAGGTAGTAAATATTTGAAGTTATAGGACTCTGGCACTTCTTGGAGCAATTTGGTTTGCTCCTGTGGGGTAAACACATTCTTTTACAGAATCAATCAATCAAAAGCAAAATGGTTAACAGTTTTGACATTAAAACTGAAATAATCATGTTTACTAGGTAACAATGTTTTTGAGATTAAGGAAAAAAAAATAACTTAGACTTGTCAGGTTATTGCACATTCAGGACAGCTCACCACATGAAAGACATTCAGCTATTTTTACCTCATCTTTTTAGGCCAACAAAAAAATGGTGTGTGCATGTGTAAATAAATAATTAATTAATATGTACACACATACACTGACATTCGGTATTTGTATAAGCATTTAGATGTTTTAGCATATTACTGTAGCAAGTCATGGGAATGAGGGAGCCTGAATATTAGATTACATCAATATTAAATTATTTGCCTTCTCTCCATTCTTAAAGGAGGTGAAATATAACTATATAATGTATCTATAAGCGCTAAAAAGTCCTTGACAAAAGAAACCAGGGTTAATGCTACTGAATTTGAGTAGCATTCCTGTGGGTCTCTTAGCATTCCTATGCTACCTGCTCATACATTCAAGCCACTTCTTCGAATATAGTTTATTGTTTCTGACTTCTGGCTCCTCTAACATGCAACTTTATGTAACTGTTGCTTGAATTCTGTAAGTCTTTCTGTAATTCTGAAAGTCTTGTAGCTTGTTTTGTAGAGGCTTCTAAGTCCATTTATTCATAGACAGTGTGTGTTTGGCTGCCTCCAGGAATTAAAGACCTCCCTGCTTGGACAGCTCAGCATTCTACAAACCTGATCCCACAACATTCTGTTGCTGTTATCCAGTCTAATCGGTGGCCTGGAGCATATGCCTATGCATCTGGCAGGTGAGAATCTAGCTGACATGGTTACAGCACAGACTGTATGTGCTACACACAGGCACCTGGCAAAGTTCCTTTATTATTAATTCATTGACTGAATTCTAGCGATTCCAGAGACTGATGGAGAAGGCCACTTGAATGTGCATAGCATCAGTAAATACGTATTTAAGACTGAAAAAAAATAATAATTGGAAATACTGGTATAAAGTTAGGGGATATAAATGTCCAGTTAGTATTTGGGCACAGTCCTGGATTTAAAACCTATATTCTTGGGTCTGTGGTACTTTCTACCAAAACAGCTACATTCTGTGGTTCTAATGTTTGTTTGTTTCCACTACAAATGGTACAGTCATTATCTCCACCTGCCTTTAAAAAGGCACTGCAGTTGGTGTCAGAAATGGCACTATGTTGTTACCCAAGTGGAGTCATATTACAATATAATGCAGTGACACTTCATCATTTTAAACAGTTGTATTAATCAACCATTAGAGCAGTTTAAAAAAAGGTGTCATCTTTTAAATTCATCTGTTATAGGATATCTGTGACTTTTTGCGCAGCAGAGTAAGGAAGCCTGACAATATCTCTGCTGGTATTTTGTCAGGGGCTGAATGTTTTCTTTCACTTCTCTTTCTCAGGAAATTTGAGAACATCTACTTTGGCTGGGGTCACAAATACAGTCCAGAAAACTACACTCCCACACTGCCCCCACCAGTGCAAGAAGAATATCCCAGCGGTCCAGCAATCACTGAGGCAAGAGACCCCACTCTGGAAGAGGAACTGGCTTTCAAGGCTGCGCAGGAAGCTTTAGCCGCAGGTGAAGAGGAAGAGGAAGAGGAAGAACAAGAGGAGGATGATTAAAATGTGGGGGAAAACATAGTATTTTAAAACTTTAAACATGTATAGTATTTTCATAATGTAGTCAAACATTTGTTGACCTTAAAAGAAATGCAATTGAAGCGCGCCTTTTTTGATTTCTGTAGGCTTCTCTTTGCAGCTACCTTCCCCTCCTTCTCCACCCCTAAAGCCCTTCATGAAGACTTCATGTGTAATGAATGACTTAGCCTTTTTCTTAGATGACTGTGCAGTCTGCTTCCTAAAATAATATTGATTTGAACTAAGAACTATAATACACCTCATGTTCGCACTGTTTTTATCTCACTTCAGTACATTTTAAATAAAAAAAAAATTATAATCACACAACAACGTGTGAAATGTGTGCTTTTGTGTGTGAAAGCATACTGTTTAGATACAGTAGACAGCTTATCGAGGTACTGGCCGAGTGCATGGGGATGACACTGATCAGAGGCACTGCTGCGGCCACACTTCGAATCCTGTCTTCAGTTTTGGGACTCCCACTGCAAGAGAGACATTGAGGTGTAGGAGCATATCCAGAGAAAGGCAACAAAGCTGGTGAAGGTTCTGAAGCACAAGTCCTACGAGGAGCGGCTGAGGGAGCTGGGGTTGTATATCCTGGAGAGGAGGAGGCTCAGGGGGTGACCTTATCGCTCTCTACAACAAACTGAAAGGAGGTTGTAGCCAGGTGGGGATCGGTCTCCTCCTCAGTTACAAGCGATATAACAAGAGCAAACAGCCTCAAGTTGCGCCAGGAGAGGTTTAGATTCGGATACTATGAAAAATTTATCTGTGGAAAATGCTGCCGTGAATTGGAAGCGGCTGCCCAGGGCAGTGGTGGAGCCACATCCCCGGAGGTATTTAAAGGACCTGTGGCTGTGGCATTTGAGGACACGGTTTAGCGGCGAACACGGCGACAGAGGTGGCTTCACAGTCAGACTCGCTGTTCCCGGAGCCTTTTCCCCGGCGAAGCCACCCCTCCAGCCCTGGGCGGCACCACCACGGCGCTGTCGGCAGAGGGGAGAGGGGGTGTCACGGGCTGCTCAGCCTGTCCCTCACTAGGCTCTCCCTGCCCGTCCCTTTCGCTCCTTCCCCCCCAGCTCTTGGTGAGTGGTACGCTCCGCGTGGGGCGTCCGTCGCACGTGGGCCAATGGGGAGCGGCCTCCGGAGCAGTTCAAACTGCGGTGGCGGTTGGGGCGAGCAGTGCCTGTCTCGGGCGGTCCCGGCTCCCTGTCCCCTTTCCGATCCCGGTTCCCGGTTCCCCCTCGTCCCGGGCGGGCATGGCGGACGAGGGAGCGGTCACGGTCTGCGTGCGTGTGCGGCCGCTCATCGCCAGGTGAGGATCCGGGCAGGCGGGACGGGGAGGCTGCAACGCCGCTTACCCTGGAATGCTGCCATGCACCCCGCACCGTAAGGGGGCCGGGGCGGGAACGCGGTGTCCGTCCCTGTGGCGGAAGGAGGGATCCGGATCCCTCCGGGGTTAGAAGGTGTCGCGGTCAGGGGTCCGTGTTACAGGAGCAGAGCCCTCGACCCATAAAGGTAACAGGATGTCATCTTCTCTTAGAGAAAAGGCTCCAGGAGATAAGGTGTCCCTGCACTGGAAGAGTGAAAATAATACTGTTTCCGACGTGAATGGAACCAAAATATTTAGTTACGGTAAGAATGTGAAAGCAATTGGCTTTGTTTTGATGCTTATGCGGACCTCCGCTACTGTACTGCTGGAACGTGTCAACGTGAGTGCCCTGAGCTTCCCGCAGTGTCCCTGAACTTTTCCAAGTGCATAGCTTTGAAGGAGTGTCGTTGGGGCACACAGGATTTCTGGTTTAGGCCACACTGGGAATGCGCTTCTGAAGTCAGCTTCCTGGTGGACGTTGCTTTCTCTGCTCTGGTTTATGCTCTGGTGGCTTTGGAGCATACGAACTCCATTCTTTTCATATGAAATCCAGTTACAAACGGACTAGACGAGGGCTACTCCAGAGCATTTAGGGAGAAGGGGGTGGGAGGTGGTGGGTTGACCGTAGCTGGATGCCAGGTACTCACTAAAGCCACTCTCTCACTCTCTCTCTGCAAGTAGACAGAGGAGAGGGAAAAAAAAAACAAAACAAACAGCCAAGGATTCATTAGTTGAGGTAAGAACTGGGAGAGGTCACTTACTGATTACCTTCACAGACAAAACAGACTCAAAGTGGGGATATTACTTAAATTTATTACTAACAGGATCAGGGCAGAAGAGTGAGAAGTAAAATAATCTTAAAAACACCTTCCCTCCACCCCTCCTTCCTTCCATGCTCTCCCTCTTCCCCCCACAGCGGTGCAGGGGGACAGGGAATGGGGGTTACAGTCAGTTGTTGTTTCTGCCACTGCTCAGGGAGAGGAGTCCTTCCCCTGTTCCCGTGGGGTCCCTCCCACAGGAGACAGTCCTTGATGGACCTCTCCAGCATGAGTCCATCCCTCAGTTCTTTACGAGACTCCTGTCCCATGGGTCACTCCTCCATGGGGTGCAGTCCTTCACCAATGAGCTGTACCAGTGTGGGTCCCTCACAAGGGCCGCAGGTCCTACCCGGGAAAAACCTGCTCCAGCGTGGGCTTCCTTCTCCCCGGCAGGACCCTGCTCCCTCCGGAGCCTCCCATGGGGTCACAGCCTCCTTCATGCATCCACCTGCCCCAGCATGGGCTTCCCCATGGGTTGCAGGTCGGTCTGTGCACCCCGATGGTCCTCTATGGGCTGCAGGGGGACATTTAGCCTGTTCTGTCAGATTTACAATCCTCACAGATAAACTAGCCATAACTTTTTAGTACTAAATAGGATGACTGTTTAACTGTCTGTCATTCTTGCAGTTTTATTACTTGTCTGTCATCTGTGCATCATGCCTTTCTTGGTTTTGTGTTTAATATTTACTTTAAAATAAAATTCTAAAAGCCTGATTAGTAGTGCCACAATGATATTTTGTGTTTTATTTACCTTACAAACAATTACGCCTATTTATTGGATTTGAAGTCAATGATACTGAGTAAGATGACAGGTTGGTTTTGACTTGCAATACAAGGGATTCACATGCTTTATTTTAATTTGTTTTTAAGATCGTGTCTTTCACTCAAGTGACAACACTCAGCAGTTATATGATGGTGTAGCTGTTCCAATTATACAGTCAGCTGTGCGAGGTTATAATGGTAAGTTTTAAAACTGTGTTTAAATCCTGTTTGTGATGTGTTTTAGAAATAATTGGTAAAACTTAGCCATTTTTCTAGGCACAATTTTTGCTTACGGACAGACTGCTTCAGGGAAGACTTACACAATGATGGGAAATGAAGATTCTGTGGGCATTATCCCTAAGGCAATTCAACATGTTTTCAAAATTATTTGTGAGGTGAGCAATTCCATTAAACTGAAGTGACTGAAAGGACTAGAAATATTGGTGATCATTGCATAAAAGTTAATTTTAGTACCAAGGAGCTTATGAAGGAAATGAATTTACATTGGACATTTATGTGTTGCAGTTGCTTTGCTAACCTGGAAAAGATGAGTGGTTTAAAATAAAAAGCTAATGGGACTTTAGTTGACATTAAATCAGAGCAACACTGAGGAGGGTTGTTAAAATTGCAAATATATTAAACATTGATTACGAGTATAAATAGATAATTATTCATGTAGTAGATAAGGTACTTGAAACATGAAGCTTTGTGTAAGGTAACATGAAGCTTTGTGTTTATTCTGCTCTTTCAAAAGTCAGTAAAGACCTTTTTTATTTTTAGAGGGAAAGTGTGACACTATATTTACTTATTTCAGACTTACAAAAGAATCGCTAATTGCTCAAGGTTAATAAAAGTAGGAGAAGGTGTAAGTTAAAACAGTGATTTCCAAAACACGATTTGCAGAGCACTTGCTTCTGCCTTGAGGGTATCAGGTAATCATTATCAGTTAACTGAAATGGTCTCTGCTTCTTTAAGGAGGTGTGGGGTACCTTAAGAGGTTTATAAAAGTAACTGAAGCCAAGAAAAGTTTCCCTGAGTCCATTGTGCACCCTTTCCTCACCCCAATATTCTCTACCAGGGAAACAGGGGAAGAAGCAGCAGCCAAGTAAAGCCAAACAAGTAGAGAGGGAAGACAAGGTACACAGAAAGGAAAGAGCTTAAGCAGGAGGAATTTGATTATGGAAAGGGTATTTAAGTGGGAGAACTGTTGTCATGCTTCTGTGGGGCAGTTATCCTAATTTTACAACTTATTAGGAGTGATATACCATTAATACAGCTGTAAAGAGGTGGAGAGAAGAGGTGGAGAAGAAAAATTATTCTGTATTGGTTAATGCTACAGAGAGGATGAGGGGAAATAAATCTGTAGAACAATTTCCAAACATACATCTCTGAGTTAAGAATATTTGCTTTAAAAGGTGTTCAACAATTAGTCTGTTATTTATTTCTTTCCTTTTTCTCTTTCACCATTAGAGTCCAGATAGAGAATTCTTGCTAAGGGTTTCTTACATGGAAATCTATAATGAAACCATTACAGATTTGCTTTGTGATAGTAGGAAAAAGAAGCCTCTGGGAATTCGTGAGGATGTTAATGTAAGTGGATCTCATGTAGTGTAAGTATTGTATCTGCTTGTACTAAAAGAATTTGAAAACAAAATTACTTCAGAGGCATCTAGTTGAAAGCTTTTCTGGGTCAAATTGTGTAATTGTATCTTCAGCATTAGCAGAAGGACACTTGATATAGTAGAATAACAACAGTGACTTTGGGCTTTCTGTAGCTAGTTTACCTTTTACAGAGTAGATACGCTTTACTTCTGCTGTAATCATGGAATAACCACGAGACTGGAACTATTCAGTAAGATGATCACTATAAAAAAGAAATCTGCTTTAACACCATCTTCAGGTTTTTTATATAAAATTTTATAGCAAATAATAAAAGTTGGTTGTTCGTTTTGTTGTTTTTGTTTTTGTTTTTTTTATTTTGATGCACTAAACAATGGGTGTTTTTGGAACATGGGAAGAAAAAAAACTAACCAGTTGTATGATTATATCCTTATAACACGTACTGAGAAATATGTTCCTGGATTCCCTCAGAAAATGTCCAGAAGGATATTTCCCCCAGCAGTTCTGGTTTTAGGAAACTTTCTAAATCTCTATTTTTTGATTTTTGTGCCCTTAGGCCACAGTTTTGATGAAGGTCTAAACTTTACCCATCCCTTGTGTTTGGAGTAAAAAGACATTCAACTGTTGAATAAATACCATAATAATTGCTGGATATGTTAACTTAATGTATTTTAGTGAGTTTTGGAGTTCAGTAAAAGTTATGACTGTGTTTATTCTATAGAGGAATACATATGTAGAAGATCTGATTGAAGAAGTAGTGGTTGCCCCAGAACAAGTTATGGAATGGATAAGAAAAGGAGAAAGTAAGTTATTTAACCAAGTTATTTAGCCAATGTCAGCCGATATCTTAAAAAAAAAACATTGATGGATCATGTATATCTGGAATCATGGGGTATCTTTTTGAGTTTATATTCAGAAATCTGTATCTTTCAGAAAATTTTAAGATTGTGCTTTTTTTCTGTTTATCTCCATTTTATCAAAATAGAAGCAGAAGTATTCTAATATTGTTTTTGGCAGGAAATCGCCATTATGGAGAAACAAAAATGAATGAACACAGCAGCCGTTCTCACACGATCTTCAGAATGGTAAAAACTGTTTCACTATTAGGAGCAGCTTTATTGTTTTCAAAGTGCCAAAAACTTGATTGCGCTTTATTGCACTCCTAGATCATTGAAAGCAGAGAACGAAGTGACCCTGCAAACTCAAACTGTGATGGAGCAGTCATGGTTTCCCACTTGGTAAGTGTCTGTTTAATGCTTTCTTGGAGTACAACTTAGCTAGAGAATTTACTGTTGCCACTTGTTTGAGAGAATGATACTTCATAATGACTTAAAAATATGCTTTGTTGTTAACTTCTAGCAGACGTTTCTTAAGTATAGAGGGGGACTCCTGGGGTGTTACCTAGAGGATAACTTCACACCAAAGGAAATTCTAACATGGGAATTACTTATGTTGGATTGGGGAGTGTTACGTAGCCCTTCCAGGGCTATGTCAGAGTGCTATTGCATTTTGTTAAGTACATCTTCCCCTACAATTGTTTCTGACCACCCATAAGCTCAGTGAAATAACTTCTAAATAAATGGTAACCTTAAGACTTCTCTTAACCTCAAATTTAGTTGTTGTTAAGAGAACATGTGCCCTACAGCTGCAATGACCAGAAGATTCATTTTTTTCACAAGTAACCCCTCATAGCATCTCTTTGGTGGATTACTGGTGTATGAAGTATCATAAACTTGGGGGAATACAACTGCTGATCTCTAGGGGAGTGTTATTATTACAGAAGCCTTCTCCACAGCCTTTTCTTGATTCTTAGAAAATAATCTGAAACAACTGGAGGAATGGAATCAGTAGGAAACCATTCGAGCTTGCTAAAATCTGCAGAAGCACTCGTATTCAGAAGTGGCAATAGCATTAATCACACGCATTGTGGAAGGAGCTTTCTGTTTTGGCTTCATGTGAAAAAAGCTCAGGATCTGAATGTAAACACTACTCATGCACTATCTCAGCAAGCTACTACCTCCTTTTTTGCTTACCATAAGTTATGGTTTCTATCCTTCTTACACCCTTTGGCCTGTTCCACCTGACTTTACTACCTGGGGTAAAGGGAGAGGTTTTTGGACTTTTTGGTCTGTTGCTGCTTGATGGAATTAGTACAGGATTTTACCCTTCTGAAGTAAAAAACAACTAAAGTGAGGGCTACTTGCTCAGGCAAATCATTATGGGATGTTGTGAAGTTCTAGTTGACTTTGAACTGGATTCAGAGTGAGGCTTTTCCTCTGATATTTCTTTTTTTTATCCGCACAGTGACAGGCAAGGAGAGACATACAGCTGATTCAGGACTGTGCTAGATGGTCTCATCTAGGCTCTTTTTCCCATGAAAGATTCCTATGGCTTGAATTAGTAGTTAAACACAGTTTCTCAGTACAGAAGTATTATCTTTTTGTTACTGAGGGTAGGGGTTCTTGCACTGCAAGTTTGAAATACTGTTTCGGGTGGTGTATAGAGTTCATACAAACTTATTCCATGTTCTTTTGTACCTTGAAAAAATGGGTTGATGTGTGTGTATAGCAGCTATGGATTACTTCTAATAATGACAGACCTCTTGGGGTTTTTTAAGTGTAACTGTATTTCATGAAATTCTTAGCAGAGATTTAGAATTAAGAGGATTTAAACTAAATTTTCTCAGGACTAACCTATGAAATATTTAATAAAATTGCAGAACTTGGTAGATCTGGCAGGCAGCGAAAGAGCGAGTCAAACAGGAGCTGAAGGTGAGTGTTAAATAGGGCTCTCCTGATGACCATTTCTGTTAAGTAACCCCAACAAGAGACTATGATAGGAAATTATTTGATCTATATGCTTTTGTGTTACTTATTTTTTATAAATAAGCTCTTTTCCCCTTGGTAGGGCAGGATCTACTCAGGAAAATACTGTACATGCTGTAAAGTGCAAACAAATTAAGCAGTAATATGCCTTTTATACAATAGCAGGCCCAGCAACAGTTATGCACTGAACTAAGAGAATGGAGATGAATCAGTGAAGATTCACCTGTAATAACAAAATCACTAGAAGCTTTTTAGGGACTTGTATGTAAAGGTGAAGAGGGAAGAGATGGCTTGTTCTTTAGCTAATGAGAGGCTTGGCTGTTGATGGTGACAGCATGAAGTTGAACAAAAATGCCTTTATAAGAAAAAAGTAATCTGAGAGGGACACAAGTAAATATTCTCTCTTATGAAGAATGACTAACCCAAAACTTGTATCTAAGGCTGGTTTATTATGCATGTAAATGGGGGCATTTGCAAAATTTAAACAGGAAACAAAATTAAACTTCTTACAGCACCAGCTACTTAGTCTATAAGGTTTTGAATTTTCATTTGTGATTACTTTCTTACTTTGATGCTTTTTGGCTATTCTGAAGGATTTGATACTGCCTGCTGATGGATCATAGTGCATTGTGGCACTTGAGATTCAACTTTTGAATAATTCTTCTGAGCATAACATAGCACACAAGTTGGCAGGTTGAAAATGTATCTTAATATTGTTTAAAAATCAAAAAACCAATAATAATTAAAAACATTACTGTGTGGTACTTAGGTGTCCGATTGAAAGAAGGCTGCAATATAAATCGGAGCTTGTTCATTCTGGGTCAAGTTATCAAAAAACTTTGTGATGACCCTTCTGGGTAAGCAACTGTTCATATTCCTGTTATAAGTCACTACTAAACTAAGAAATTTAAATCCTTTATTTATGATTTTATGTAGGTAACTGTTTCAAATAACCTGTTATCTCTAAAAAATAAATTTACTGTGAGTTTTTTCTATGCAAAAATCTGAATTTTTTTTTTTCTTACCTCTTTTTTATTAGCTTCATAAATTACAGAGACAGCAAGCTGACTCGAATTCTGCAGAACTCCCTTGGAGGAAATGCTAAAACAGTTATTATTTGTACAATTACTCCTGTTTCTTTTGATGAAACACTCAGTACTCTTCAGGTAAAGCTTCTCACCTGTTCTCCAGCACTATTCTGACTGAAGGTTTTGCTGTAGATAGGGGAGGGGTGGAAAATGTAATCTGATGGATCTTTAACGACGTGAATCTTCTAAAGGGCTTCTGTGGACTCAGAATTTGAAATACTTGTTTTGTATACAGAATCTCTTCCCAGTCATCATCTTGTATTAGTTTGTCTACCTAGAGCTTTCTGGGAGTTGGGACAAAGCTCCTTCTCTTGCAGGCAGGAGATAACCTCCCTTCTCATTTGCCTCTTCCAAACACAGAACAAGTCTTTGCTAACACAAGATGTTAGATACTACAGGAAAGGAGGGTAATTGAACTGTTAAAGAACTTTGTTCTTTAGGTAGGATTGTCTTCCTTTTTGGTGGTCTTTTGAGCTTTTTATTAAATAAAAATAACTTGGGATATATTTAGTTAAATGTTATGCTTTGTGTTTTAGATATTAATATCAAGCAAAGAAAACTTAACTTTTCAAATCTTAGAATACATTAAAAATAAGCAAATTCCGGTATCTGTGTCCCTATTATATGCTGTTCTTTATGTAATAAACTCTCCCTTTAATTCTGTTGGGAAATATGGAACAGAATAAGTCTTTTTAGAGTATTTGTTCTCAAACTATTGCCCATGAGAGAATATTCTTTCAGTTTGCCAATACAGCCAAAGGAATGAAGAATACACCAAAAGTCAATGAAGTACTTGATGATGATGCCCTCCTGAAGAGATACCGAAAAGAAATTCTGGATTTGAAAAAGCAGCTGGAGGAAGTATGTAATAAACTTCTTAAAATTAATCTATCCTTAGTACTGATAGCTGTTTGGAAACTACCGGTTTTAAACCAAAAGCAGCTAAATTTGCAGGAGTAGGGAAAGTGTTTAAAGTGATATTTGTCATTTTTATTGAGAGAATAGAAATTGAAAAGGTGACGTATTATCTAGAACAACTGATGATAGCATATCTGTGAAAGCTAACACTGAGATCAACTAAGAGAATTGCTTCCTTGCAGTAGGTTAATATAATTAAGAAATAGAAATTTGTCATGTATTATAGCACACTTTAACAGATCAAAATTAATTGCAATATAAGAAGTTACTGAATGTCCATTAAAGATTACAACTTAATCCATATTTTTTTCCTCTTAATGATATTTAACTTCAGTTGGAATTCCAAGATGTTGCAACTGCATTAAGATCACTGGCAAAACGTAGGTCATGTGTAGTTAGAAGATACCTTTAGAAAATGAAAAATAGTAACTTCCCACCAAACAGTGCAGTCTGTCATGTGTTCATCTTTCTCTAAAAATCTATGTAGTTGTGGAGCAATCTTGCAAGTCTTTTTAGAGCATAGATGATAAAACATAAAGCACAGGAAAAAAACAGTGCTGAACATACTGTTTTGGTGAATTAAATCAAAGTATGCACATATTATGTTGGAAATTATAAGTATCCTTAGAAAAAAATTTATGAAAAATAACTGACCTCTTATTATTAACAGTAATTAATTTGCACCTGGGAGTATGTTTGCTGTCCTCTGACATAGTAGTGAGGAAAGTAGTGCTGAAGAGTTTGTTGGAAAATTCCATGGACGCTTTGAATTACTCTGCAGCATTGTAAGCTTATGATAAAGTTGTCAAAAAACAGCTGTTACTTTCAAAACAATACATTTTCAGTACTTGGATTTAACGAGGCCACATGCATCAGCTTGCTGTTACTTGACAATTGAATTGTAGTTCTGAAAGAGCTTCAGGCTTCTGGCACCATGGGAAGGTCATCTAAACTATGTTATATTTGAGAGAATGCTTGGATTTTTTAATGCCTAGAAAAATCTGAGGCTGTATTACTTGTGGGAGTTTTGACCCCTTTTAAATACTTAGTCTGCAGGTAAATTGTAGACTAAGTTGTTAGTTTCATTATTAAAGACTCCTCTTCCAGATTTTAAAGGATATATGTGTATAATTGTTTTAAAATATCAGTAATTGTATCTCTTCTGTAGGAGTAGTTTGTGCTCTTAAAATGTCAGTTTGATTAATATTCTTTTTATGGAAGGTGTCTTCAAAGACTCAGATTCATGCAATGGAAAAGGACCAATTGGCCCAGCTGCTGGAAGAAAAGAATTCTCTCCAGAAAGTCCAGGAAGACAAGATAAGAAATCTAACTGAGATGCTGGTGACCTCTGCTTCCTTTGCCTCAAAAGAGAATATTAAAGTAAGCACCTGTTCTAGATCTTACTTGACAACTCTGAAATACTTTGTGAAAGGTAATATTAAATACATAGGATTATACTGACAACGAAGAATAAGTATGATAAGCAATTTTCACTTTTTTTCCCCATATTTTTAAAAGGCTAACTTTTAAAATAACTTCCAAGTATAATTCAGTGTTGCCTTGCAGTGAAAAGACTGCAGACACTTTTGCTTTCAAACTACCATGCTGTAAATTCTGAGGTAACTTCAAAACCCTGTCTACCTAGCTGGCTGGTACTATTACAGAACTAGCCTAATGCAACATTCACTCTCTACCTACTGGTTTGATTTTAATCACTTTTCTGTAAATGCTTTTTTAAAGACCAAGAGAAGAAGAAGAGTTACTTGGGCTCCTGGTAAAATAAAACAGGCAAATGTGAGCTATTTTGAAGACTTTGAAAAAGACATGCCAACTGAACCAAAAAAAGTGAAAATGTCTCTGTCAGCACTACCAGATGCAGAGGATTGTAAGTAACTTCAGGAAAAAATAAGGGAAGTCTGCAAAGCGACTTTGACATCAGAAATAATCCCTTTTTAATAGATCTAAGTTAAAGAGCAAATCAACTTGCTAACAATACGAAAGCCAAATTTAGTTGCCACTGTACTCAAATAATATGCCATGAACCCAGTTTTGAAAGTTGCCTGTAGTCTGTAAGGAAATCACATTTATCTGACAGAAAAGAATGCTGCCTGGAAGGGAAGTGGATTTAGCACACTAATTATGGTAGTTCTTGTGTTGGAAATAAGGTTCATTTTATTTAAAAAGTGGGAGAATAGTTGCTATCCAAGGTGAAATAATGTGTAGCATGGCCAGCAGGTCAAGGGAGGTGATTCTGCCCCTCCCTTTACTTTGGTCTTGTGAGACCCCAGCTGGAGTGCTGTGCCCAGCTCTCGAGTCCCCAGCACAGGAAGGACATGGATCTGCTGGAGCAAGTCCAGAGGAGGCCACAAAGATGATCAGACAGATGGAGCGCTGCACCGCTCCTTTGAGAAAAGGCTGAGAAAATTGGAATTGTTCAGCCTGGAGAAGAGAAGGCTCTGGGGTGATTGCGGCTTTTCGGGATCTGAAAGGGGCCCAGAGGAAAGCTGGAGAGTGCATGTAGTGACAGGAGAAGGAGGAACGGTTTTAAACTGAGAGTGGGTTTAGGCTGAATATTGGGAAAAAATTCTTCATTGTGAGGGCAGTGAGGCACTGGAACAGGTTGCCCGTAGAGGCTGTGGTTGCCCCATCCCTTGGAAGCGTTCAAGGCCAGGTTGGATGGGGCTTTGAGCAACCTGGTCTAGTGAAAGGTGTCCCTGCCCACAGGGGAAGGGCAGATGGAACTTAATGGTCTTTGAGGTCTCTTCCAACCCAAACCATTCTATGATTCTATGAAATTCCTGATAGATAAGTTTGCAAGCATTGCATTACTTGATTTCCCAAAGGGAATAAGTTGATTCTGGATTTGGTTTAGTATTCATTAGCTTGTGATAAGGTGGTCAGTATAAGTGTAGAGACTGGACTTCAGTGGTGTTCCCTTTCATAACAGAAAATCATGAGTCAGAACTCCTACTCAGTGTGCTATGTTTTGCCACTGAATGATTGTTTCCAATGTCTTAAAATTGTTTGATAAGAAAATTTTTGATGTGTAGTTTAAAATCTACTAATACCTTTTTTAATACATCTTTCTTTTCAGCTATGTTAGATAATTCCGAATATGACAACCAATGTCTGACAGTTCCTGATCAAACTTCAGAAGTAGAATGGATTGCTGGACCTAAAATGACTTGGGTAACACCACAATCTATTTCAGTTGTAATCCTGTGCATATGCATATATGCATAATATACCTCTCAGTAAGATCAGCCTTACTATTCTTTAGGACACCAGTATTATTCTATGTGTCTGCAGAATTATTATACTGGTTAGAAAGTCAGTCTCTTGGACATCTCTGCAAAGCTGTGGGATGGTTCTGTGCCTCTAAGCATTTATGGCAAATGATCCAGTAAACTTTGGTATTTATACAGGACTAGCTGTGAAGAGTCAAGCAACAAGGAATATAATACTCAACTTGATCTTGTAGATCTGTTAATCGAGATTGATTCTTTTTCTAGACTCAAAAAGACTTTGAAGAATCTGTGCAAATCTGTGAAGCGCTAGCATTTGAAAAGGTAGGTCTGTTCTGAATTTTCTGGAAATAAGATTGACATTCCAGCAACAGCTTCTAAAGTTTCTTGTGCTGCTTCTTCAGGATATTGCTGTAAATGAGGTCAACATCCTGCAAGCTAAGGTGGATAACCTAGTGTTGGAAAATGAGCAGTTGAAACTAGAAATAAATGAAATAAAGGAGAAACTGAAGGAAAAAAAAGAAATAGATGAATTTGAAGTACTGGAAAAACAAACACAAAAAGATCATGAGGTAAGGTGCATTGAAATAGATATGAATTCTCTATGCTCAAATGTTTTCTAGAGTTTATTCAGTGTACATAGACTTGGATGTTGATTCACAAACAACTGCATTCGACAACAGAATGAATGAACCCAGGATTTAAAATGGATTTACTTGGAATGTAAAATTCAGACAAATTTTTGGAGAGTTGTATATGGTTAAATGTATATTAGTGTGTATGTCAATATGCATCTATATATTATTTTTATATACAAGTGACCAATTTCACTCTAGACTTCAGTAAGACAGTTGTTTTGCTGCTTAAATATATTTTAGAACTGTTTTGAAGTTAAAGTATGATTGCTAAACTATATTTCACCTCTTTCTTGTGCACATCTTGGTTTACAAGATAGCTCTGGCTTTTGGTAATCTACGTGAGCATTAACTTTTAACATACTATTTAACTTAGTCATGAAATATTTTAAAATAATAGTGTGAATAGTAATGTCTGGAAAATCGAAATGTATTTTGTGCCAGGAAGTCAGAAAAAAGCATAGATTTATCTACTGGATAACTTATGATATAGGAAATGCTGACTTTCAGTTCTCTTCACCTCCTTGTGCAGTTAGTGGAGTACCTTGTTTGTCCAAATGTTTTATGCTGTGATTCTGTAACCTGAAATACATATTAATTGTATTAGGTTCTAGCTGCCCAGAGGCTAGACTGTGAAATAAATTAATGCCCAAAGAAAACCCAAACCCAGCAATCTGAGGTATTGAGACATGGATGTATTATTCTGTTTCTTTCCTGGTACATTTGCTGGAGTTTATTTGTCCACATTAGACTCTTCAATGTCCTCTGATCATGACCCTAAGGTTGAAGTTTGTTACCTCCTCTTGCAGTGCTGTTTCAGGTTACGATTTAACAATTTCACTGCTTATTTTTTCATTGTGTTCCCTACAAAGATTTATGGACCTTAAAGAAAATGGATCCATAAGATGTTATAACTTATCTTGTGTCTCAGATTCTTTTTAGAAGACCCTTTGTATGCTAGATTAATTATCCTATCTACCTTAGCCAATGTTTAAGAAATCCTCAGTCACACAAAAACTTTGCATTGAAAACCGTCTCTAATACAGATGCAGTGTCCTAAAGTAGCCTCTATTACAAGAATTGCTTTTTGAATGATTCAAGTTTTCAGATACTTGAAGACAGTCCATAAAATATAAGCAATTACTGATGCCCATGTAGTAGATTAATTACAGCAATACTGAAAGGTCCCATACTTCACTACATACATTAGTTGAAATCCATCACTTTATACAAATAAATTATATAGGAATACTCCCAGGAGAGCGTTTGTTTTAAAGCTTTTCACTTATCTTAAAATTACTGAATTTAAATTTAATTTAATTACCTAATTTTAATTGTAAAATTATTATTTATCAAAGGATTTTCTCCCTACCTATGCTTGTGCATATACAGAAGTACTTGTAGATGAGTGCTTATTGTAAAGCTTTTCTGACAATGATCAAAAGAAAGGAGGTCTTAAATTTCAGAAGTGCCTTTCTATTTAGTCTTGTACTTGTGCCTTCTATCAGAGAATGCCACTGAATGTGTTCATGGCTTGCTATACTTCAATTTTGGCACCTTCTCATTCCTGTTCATGAATAGGTTAAATCATAAATATCTGCACTATGTCACAAAAAGCTGCTTAACATGACTAGAATTTGTGTCCTATCTGTACAATTTCTGCATTAATTGCTTTGATCACATTGCTCTTGCTTCTCAAGCTATTGTAGATAGCTTGAACCCTTTCTAATTACTGGGAAGCTAAAAACAGAGCTTTGCATCTCACATATCCATTTGAAAGAACATGTAGCATCTTGCTTTGTAGCTGTTTCAATAGATATGTGTGTGTATATGGTTTGCCCACTCCTACAGAAGAAAACACAAGATAGACCTTGCTCGTTTTCATGGTGTTGGCAACAAAAAAATATTGGTGTGGGTGCTTTCTAACATCCTCTGCAATTTTGCTTCAATTTGCTCCACAGATGCAACTAATGCATGAAATTACCAAGTTAAAGAATCTAGTTTCAAGTTCTGAAGCATGCAATGAGGAACTTGAGGTGAGCCTCTCTATGCATTTAAGTGCAGTAAGACTTGTATGAAATGTTCTTGGTTTGTTTATCTTGAAATAACTGTATCTGCTGTGGACATGACAGACATCATTGGGCTTTGGTTAGTCTTACCAGTTAAAAGGAGGATATGTCTAAAACCCCTGAACTCCTGCTGTGTAGGTTTTTGATAAATTCTGACCTGAAAAACCAAACTGGGCACTAGAATCTTCCTTCTTTCTTTTTCCTTCAACTTTTAGGCAGAAATAAATTCCAAACTGGAACTGCTGAAAGAGAAAGAGAACAAAATAAAGATATTACAGAATCGTGTGGAAGAATTACAAAAAGCAAGAGTGGAAAAAGAGGCATCTTTTTCAGTGGTAAACTCGAGTTTTCTGTGGGGTTGTATTCAGATTTTAACCATGTTATAACAACCACATTTTCTTTATTATGTCTATAAAATTTTTAATTTCTTTGAATATTTTTCAGGGAGATTCTGATAAACTAATGGAGGAAATTCAGCAGCTGAAAAAATCCCTCTTAGATAGTGAAGCCATAGCCTTGGATGCCAAAAAAGAATCTGCTTTTCTCAGAACTGAAAATTTGGAACTGAAGGAGAAGATGGCAAGTACTTGTTCAACTGCATTTATAGCCGTACCAAATGCTGTTAAGGGCCTATCTGCTTCTGGGCTAGTGAAGAAGGCAATCAGAGTAGTGGAGCACAAGCTTCACAAGAAAGCACAAGTCATTACCTTTCTCCAAATACTCTAAGTAATGTTTTTATTATGAAATTCATGGAAAATGGGTCTTCAGGAAAGAGATAAAAATAAAAGTAAAACTCCTTCTGCCACAAGAGTGGGTGGTTAGTTTTAGGTTTACCATTAGAAAGCCACAGCAAAGGAACAGTTTTTAGGGCATTACTAGAACATAAGACTTCAAACCTCATTTTACCAGAGAACAAAAGAAATAAGAGATGTGAACTCAAAAGTGGTATGGAGCTTAGTTTGAGCTTTGAAGGAGTAAAGACAAAATATTAGCAGCAGTTACGGCCCTGGCCTCTGAGGTATGTTTTCTTAGAGGGCTCTGACAGGAATGCAGTTGTTAAATATCGGCTTATTCAGCCATATTTATCAAAGCCAAAGCTGTTTAGAGTGACAACAGAAAAATGTACCAGGTGCAGTATTTAAATGTTAAGCAAGTAGACTTTTATTCTGTGTGTGACTTGCATGTTTTATTGTTTTCCTGAAGAATGAACTCTTAAATAAGCACAACCAAATGCAAAAGGATGTTCAATTATACCAAAGCCAAATAGAAGGGGGAAAAGCCAGTTACCGAAAAATGCAGACTGACTTGCAGAGAGAGTTGCAATCTGCATTTCAAGAAAACTTAAGACTAACTTCACTGATGGAGGGTAAAGTTCCAAAAGGTACTGTTCCAGGTGGTGTTTTTTCCCCTCACCCCATCTCTTCCCTTTTTCTTGTCTTGGGTAGGAGGGAAATAGGGAAGACTTTGGCTCTTGTTTTCCTGAATACTTGGAGATTCTATCAATATAAAATACTAGAGTATCTGGTATGTAGTAACTGCTTTAGCACATTCTTGAACTTTTTAGAAAACTGCACCTTATGGAATGTTTTGTATTTTGCACAAAGACGGTCAAGTTAGTGAAGGCTGTTGGGGAGAATCTAAGATAAACTGGATGTCAACCTAAGAGGTGATGACCAAATTCAGACCAACAGCTTAATTGTTGGCCATCGTAAAATATACTTCTCTAGAATTATACTTATCTGACATCCAGAATGCATTACAAATCTGCTTAGTTTAGAACATGCTTTTCTTCTCTTGCACTCGCTTATCAATCTAAACTCGTTAATTCTTTAGATTTGCTCACTCTTATGGAGCTGGAAAAAAAAGCTGCTGACTTAAAAGGAGAACTAGAAAAAGCTTTGAAAGAGAATGCACTTCTACAAAAACAAGTAAATGAGCTATCAGAATTTCAGTCTCTACCAAATACTGTGGAGATGCAGAAGAAAGAGGTAAAAAAACCACCCTAACCTCTTTTTCTGTATTTTGTATTGTACTTGACTGGTAATGTATTAATGGAGGCCTACTGGATAGGAAGTTTTAAAGCCCAAAGTTGTCTTGAATGAAATAACCTAAGACTTTGCAATTAAGTTTGTTAAATTATTTTTTCTTGGGTATTTAATATTTGTACCTAAGAATAAGTTCAAGATCACATATTTAGTCAGAGTCTACTATAGTTTATCTGGATTTTCTAGTCCAACATTTGTGTGCCTATTTGCCATAGTCACTACTGATAACTGAGTGTATAGATATAGAGGTGTTTGATCTCAGATACTATTCTAAAACTGATTTTTTTTGTCAGTTTGGACAAAGAAAAAATGTCAAGATCTCTTAGCAGAAATGCTGCTTGCAAAGTGAGAGATCAGTAAATTCTAGAAAATGTGTGAGCAAACTGTTTGTTTCCTGGCAGGTCAAAACTCAGTAGACTAAGTGTGCTGGAAATATGTTTTAAGGGGTTTGTTTGCAAACACTTTCTGTGTTTCTTTGTCCTTAAATACCTGCTACTAAGTATGTGCAATGAAAACTATTCAGGGAAAGTAATCTCACAAACTCATTAACATTTTGCAAAAAAGTTCCAAACCATCCAGTGGTCTACTTCCACTAATCAACAAAACTCCATTAGATGTTACCAACTTCATAGACTCTGTATCATGAAGAAAGTATTGATACATCTAAATATTCAGTTTAGGAGTCCATACCTCAAACATAGGCAAAAGGAAGTATTAAAGAACATGGAGAGTTAGAGGAGTGATTTCCAGATTTTGGAAGGGGCTTGACTGTCTTCCCTCTCTTTTAAGGAATCCTTGCTAGGCAATTCCCTCCCAACAAAGCAAAACTCAATATATTTTGAAATATGCTTGCCTGTACTTTATTTCCTATATCTGCATATATACATGGGTTTTAGTAGTAATGACAAATACTGATTGAGAAAATACTATTAATATTGCTTTTCTGTTGGCAGATTCTCGAACAATGTGAGGAATTACACTTATTAAAATTGGAAAACGAAAAGCTGCTTTCTGAAGTAGCTGATAAAGAAATGAAACTTAAACACATGACTGAAGAAACTGAAAAATCCAAAGACGATCTAGCAGATGCACAACTGAAATATATGAAGTCTGATCAAGAATACGTGGCACTTAAACAGCTCCATGAAGAAATGGAACAAAAATATATAGCTACATCAGAAAATAATGAAAAAATGAAGCTCCAAATAGAAAGTCTTTCTAAAGAAGCACAAGAGTCTAAAATAACTTTGGATCAAATTAAATTAGAGGTCAGTGTCATTTCGTTCCTTTTTACAGATAGGACTTGTGTAATTAACTCATAGTATTAAGAGAAGAAGTTTTTGGAGGAGTACTCCTAAAGCTATAAATGACAAGATCATTGATTTCCTCTAACATGAGTGGATAATACTTATTCTATGCCAAGGGTATAATGTTGAAGGATTATGCTTTCCAATTGTCTCTTTCTTTGTAGGCAGAGAAGTGTATATATTGCGCTAGGTTCTCCTTCCATACTTGATCTTCTTTTCCCATTCTTATGTTATATCTTTATTATGTAGGGTTTTTTTAAGTGCTGCTCTGACCTACTCTATATAAAGTCATAGAAACCAAGTTTCCTCATTGGGAACTGGAGACCTTTTAGAACACAAGATATTCTAATCAAAGAGAATTGCCACAGAAATTGGCCATTAGAAAGGAAAAAAAAATATTAAAGAGAACATTTAAGAAGAAGAGTGAGACAAAGATACAAAGATATATATTTTTGACAAAGCTTTGGACACTGGTGTGTCTGTCATATTCCAGCTATGGATTTGATAATTCCTAAGCTATTTCATGTGTGGTGTTGTGTTTTAGTAAGACTTTTGCTGCTAAGAGGAAACCACAAGGAAGTTCCATAAAAAATGCTTATTTGATATGGGCAAGAGTATAAGCAGTAACTTATGAACTTCCTATCTCTCAGCCCTTCAAAGTTCATTTAAGACTCTGTGAGAACACATACACATAATGAAGTTCTACATTGCAATGAAAGTGTCTGACTTTTTCCTTTGCAAACTAAAGCTCTCCAGCAAAATGAAAGAACTGGAAGAAAAAACAGCAGAACAAAAACAACTTCTTGAGCTAAGAGAAGATTTTATTCGGACTCAGCAAAAGTTAAATGAAATGGAGCAACTAAAAGAGGAAAAAAGGGCTAGTGAATTGAGACTGCAGGCTAAGGAGTCAGAGATCCAGGCAGTTCTTCAGCAGCTAACTGAATTCCAGGAAGAAATAAAAACTCTAACCCAGGAAAAAGATTACCTGAAGCAAAAAGGAGAGTCCCTTCAAGCTGAGACAGACCAACTCAAAGAGGATATAAAGGACACTGTTTCAATGGTAGGAGTTTTGCCCTTATAGAAATAGGCCATACATGTTAAGAGAAAGAGGGTAAGAATACTATAAGCGGTATTGAAATCTTTAGGGGAGCATGGGAGCTGCAGGTTGTGTGGGATTTTTAAATCAAGGAATGCCTACTAATATTGCAATATATGTATATTTTCTTTGTGGATTTTCTCTCTTGTATTCTAAAGAACATCTTGGCACATGAAGAACTGAGAAATACGCAAAGTTCTCTCAAGCAATCCCAGGCCACTGTCAGGAAGTTGGAAAAATGTATTTCTGAAAAAGAATCTCATATTTTGAGTGTTGAAGAGGCACTAGGGAAGACCATTAAGGAACTCGAAACACGGGTAAAATTTTATGTAATAATTTAAAATAAAAATGCTTTCAATGTGTTTCCCAACAACATGAAAACAAACCAGCTAAACTGCTTACAGTCTCTTCTACGTGTCGTTAGAAAATTTCTAGCTCCTTGGTAGCAAGTGGGCAAGAAAATAGCACTGCCTGACCCAAGCCTTTACCAGCTGCTGATCTGTTCCTGTAGAGCTTCAAGCTGTAAAGCACACTCTAATAAACATTTGCTTAACTCGTGTGCCCCCTGGTTGTGGATTTGAGTGGTGGCATTAGGTAACAAATGGAAGTTAAGAGTTACTTGAAGGGAAGGAATGAGGCTAATGATTAATAACACTCAGTCCCACGGAGAAGTGTAATGTGATTGGCAACTCAGTTCCCAACATACAGCAGAAGGCTGATCCACTGGTTTTTGTGCCAGTATGTGCAGTGGGATTTTTCTTAAAGTATATTAGCAACCAGTAAGTCAGTGGTTTTGTATTCAGCATTTGTGTGCTTTAGAACATATGCAACAGTATAATCCAACGGGTTTCTTCTTTGGCTTTTCTACTTCTCAGACTTGTTTTACTTAAAAATCTGGCCAATACTGCAGCTGATATTGCTGAAAGGTTAGAAATTCAAATACAAAAGGTAACAAAGGGCACAGACTTGGCTTTGTAGCTTTTCTGGTTTGGTCCGAGTGGTTTGATGTTAAAAATGCCATAGAGAAGTGAATCAAACAGAAGTTTTGCATTCAAATTTGAATTGATGGAAATGCTGTCCTTGTTTATTTTTTCATAGATCTCACAAATGACAGAAGAAATTAAAATCATCACCTCAGAGAGAGATCAGCTTGCTGAGCTAAAATCAGAAAGCCGTAGCTGTAGAGAAGGTGATCAGCTTCAGGAGCAAAAGGAACAAATCATTTTCCTTACACAAGAGAACCGCTCCCTGCAAGAGAAGCTGGACAGTTTACTTTTGAAAAAAGAAGAGTTTGGGGAAGGAACTTGGGTAATTATGCTGAGGCTGTAATGGAGAGCATGTTATTTAGGCTTTCACCTCAGTGAAATAATTTGCAAAACACACTGGAGAAAAGGGTCCTGGTCTGTGACTGTCCAACGTTTTACACAAGGGGTTTATTATTGTTTACTTGTGATTTATCCCAGCCCTATTGTTGTATATGGACAGGTGGGAGTAGAATATCCCTGTGAATAGAGTATTAACTTGATAGAGGTTGGTGATGTTGTGCATTGATCTGCACAGGGATGGGGGTATATAACTAACCATCTGAAGGTAAAAACTGCTTGTCTGGAATGGGTGGTTCTGCTTTCTAAAGCTTATGTGGAACTGACAATTTTCCTGGCACTGAAAGGGACATTGCAACCAACACTTCATGTAACTGGATTGCACCTGTGTTTGTGTAGATAAATAGAGAGAGAGACTGATAGACAGTCTTCAAAAAAAAAAAAAAAGGTGAAGTGTGTGCATCCGTTTTGATATGGAAGGGGGAGAGGACAAATTTGAAGTAAATAATTGTCCTGACACCGTTGTCAACCTCTGTCGAGACTAGAAATATAGATAAACTCTCCAGTTTGGGATGGGAAAGGATTTGTTGGGTGTTTTTGTTTTCATCATTGATGTTGTTACCCCCACGCTTAAATGATGACAATGAAATTCTGCTTCTGGTAACTTGTTTCAGAAGTCCTTGCTTCAAATTTTACTTGTCTCTTATGTCAAAAAACTTGAACTGCATACTGAGTTCCGTCAGATTTTATTATTCTAGAAAAGCCGCAGATGTCTCTAAGACAGGGCCTTTATTTTACATACTCCACATGTTAAAGCTCAGATATGCTTCTCTTAAAGCTACTTTTCTAAAAGTGTTGATTTCTGTCTTTGCATAAAACAGGTACCCCAGATCCCAGAAAAATCTCTGGAGCAAGAGTTACTTGTTCTGAGGGAAGAGCTCAGCCAGGCACAAAGGAAATTGCATGAAATGGAGGAAGGGAAGGGCAGTGAATGCCAGGGAGAACCTGAAGAAACGGGGAGAAGAGATTTTATTCCACAACTGCATGACTGGCAGGAAGTGAGTACCCAGACAGAAAGAGAGGACGATGATCTTAAACTGCAACTGGAAGATCTCCAGAACGAGAGAGACCAGCTAAGAGAAACTGTACAGGAGACAATAAGAAAGGTAATAAAATTAGTCCTATTCCTGTAGGATAAGAGCTTTAGTAAACTTGTGCCTTAGATTTTGGAAGTGCTGTTCAGGTGTTAATGTATTTCAATTGTGTCCAAAGAATTCAGAGATGCAGGAGGAGTTGCAGTGTACTCACAGATCTCTTGAACAACATCAGGAGACTATTGTGGAGCTGAAAGGGAACATTTCAGAGAAAGAAAATCAACTCTTGAAAGCTCAGGAGGCATTGAAGGAAAAAACTGATGAACTGCAGCAGAAGGTCAGAAAGAGTTTTGTCAAGTATATTCAAAATTTCATCACATATGGCAACCCATGTCTTCTGCAGACTTCAGTTTGCAGGGGTCCAATAAATGAAACTTAATTGATAGTTTTTCCTTTCCTTTTTGCTCTGTACTGCTTTTCGAAAGAATTCCATGAAAACAGAGACAGTGAAAGGATGATCCAATGCAATTTGACCTGCAACCTACCTACCACCCCTATTTATAACTAAATATGTCTTAGTGATGAATGACAGAATATCATTTGGAATCAGTACTGCCCTTTGGCCTCAATGCATTTTCCCAGTCTTAAGTTTTTTTAAATTTTAGTAATGTATTTTATCTCTGTAGCTCTGAAGATCCTTGAGCAACTTCAAGGCACTTTAGCTCATGCTTGAGTGGCTGCACTCTTAGAAATGTCTTATCTACTTATTATTTTCCTATCCTAAGCTTTTTTGCTTTTAGTGTTCATTCTTACATTTGGTAATCTTTTCTATTTCGTGTGGATACGGCAATGGAGGTGCTTCTCTGGAATTAGAATGGCCTGTAGGATTTTCCACATTCACTTTTGACTACCAGTGAGAGAGAAGCACTGAAAT